TCCTTCCTCTTCCTCTGTTTAGTATATGGTGCTGCGATTTTACTATAACTGATCCCTGTGTTTTTGATCCAGTGCTATACCATATGGAGTGCTGAACGAGAAGATACCCAGAAGAATGAATGATCACAACCTTCAACTTTTCCAACAGAAAACAGGCTGTTCTCACTCCATTGCAATGACAAAGTGTCCCTCTGCTCATCATGCACTTCATTGGCTCTGTTCACAGATATGAATGCTCAACTCAGGCAGGGAAGCAGAAAGTTAGCTTTAACCCATCGGGTCAGGTCAGCTGTTGTGAGAACATCACAACCCAGTTTCCAAGCTTGTTTAGTCAGCCCTTTAAGCCAAAGTGGTGGTACTACAGAGCTGTCGAAGAACAAGTCTCACCATTACAGAGTTGACAGCCAAAATCTGATGTCAGAAACACTTTTCCCCAAAATTATAAGCAAACAGAATAAACCATCAACAATGCAATAAAATAAAGTTGAACATTTTAAACTTTTCCTTCTATTCTTTTTAATATATGTAGTACACATTTTTTTTTTTAAAAAAAGGTGGGTAGGATCCAAAGATCAAAATGCACATTTTGCCATATAACATGTTTAATCAGTCTTATTTTCTAAATCTGAAATACTGTACATAAATTCTAGTATTAATTTTTATCATTTCATAATTTTCATGTACTTTGAAAACAGAAAAGTTAGCCCATATTGAAAAAATCGTATTTACACTTTTACATCTTATTCTATTATTTATTTAATGTATTTTAAAACATAAGCACATTCTTTCGTATGTTAACTGTTTTTGTGTTTCCTTAAAACAATATCAAGAAATATTACTTTGCAATTCTTCTTTTCAAAAGGCATTTAAAAAGGGTATTAGAAAAAAAATTAAATTATGCATTTCTTTCTGAAACGTCTGCATTTTCTTCTAGCCTTCAGATCTCTATAACTCAGTATACAATATCTTTTCTTTTTGTTTCCCACTAAAATTCCATTTAATCTAGACATAATTATATTCCAAATGTCACACTGCTACAAGACAAAGATTCATCACAGTAGCATTTTTAGTAGCTTTGCTATAACTTCTAGCTCCAGAGTACAGGTAGTCCTGGACTTAAGACCACAATTGAGCCCAAAATTTATGCTACTAATGTTTGTTAAGTGAATTTTCTCTCATTTTATGACCTTTCTTGCCACAGGTGTTAAGTGAATCGCCACAGTTATTCAGTTAGTAACATGGTTGTTAAGTGAATCTGGCTTCCCCAATTGTCTTACTTTGTCAGGTTTCAAAAGGGGATCACATGACCTTGGGACACGGCAACCGTCATAAATACAAGTCAGTGGCCAAGCATTTGAATTTTGATCACATGACCATGGGGCGCTGCAACAGTTGTAAGTGTGAAAAATGGTCATGTCACTTTTTAGTGCCATTGTAACTTTGAACAGTCACTAAATGAACGATTGTAAGTTGAGGACTTCTACTAGAAAATCAGTGCTTTAAAAAGGGGGAAATTATGTGCAGAAATGCACATCACCAATCTAATTATGCCTTAATAATTATGCCTTTTTACAAACAAATCACAGCGATTCCACCAACAATTCCTTCCTTGATTCCTACCTTCCCAGATCATCACTTTTATCTCTTCCCCTTCAAGCACACAAGTCAAAAAAGGAAAGTAAGGTTTAAAAACTATACCTATACTGCAAAGCAAATGCTATTATAAACAATAAAAAAACAGAAGTCAAATTTCTCAAGAGATCGACTAACTATATGAATATATGTGCAGATTCAAGATCCTCTTAAACTTATCCCCTCAGTCTTCTGATATTGTCACAAGCAAAAAATAAGCAACGTCAGCTTTTTCTTTTGATTGACGATGCTTAGAACTATATCTATCCTTTCGGCTGTGGTTGCTGGTGGTCTGCTGGAAATATATTATTTATTATATTTATACCGTGATGCAATCCTGAAGGACTTGCAGAGTTTATAAAAAGTATAATGGACTTCTTCTTGATCATGGCATAATCCCAAATGCCCTCCAGAAAAGCTTTGGAGAAGAAAGCCCTAGTAACCTAAACCTTGTTTGGAAGTTGATTTGTTTCTCCAATCCACTTATCATTAATCGAAGTCTGGCCATGTTGAGGCAGAGATAATAATTCATTTCTATTTTTAAATGAAGGCTCCAAATTTCCTCTGGTAACTGGGCCAAAATGGGAAACCCGAAAGGACTGGGATAGCAACAAGCTATTTTATTTGATGAAAGATTGGTAAACCATATATTTATGTTACTTCTCACCCTAAATATACAAATAAACTTTTTTTGCATTTGAGTACAAATCTAGAATTTCCCTTTAAAAATAAAATTTACACTAACATTCTTTAGCAGATATTATTGTACAAAAATGAGCAGCTATGTGAAAAGGTGCTGATTCGGCCAATTAGCACTTCCACAAATCTCTAACTGTTCTTTAGTCTATTATCAGCCATGTACATCGCTGTGTATAATCCAGAAATGGGCAACTATGTTAATTTCATGACTTTCAACTCCCTGAATTCTTGCACCAGCCACTGTCTATTGTCATTGATGCATATTTATGATTCACGTATATAAGCTTGCTGATGATAGCAACGTTACCTTGCTGTAATAGGAAATAGCTTCTTTGTACTTCTCAATGATGTCTTCAGGGCTCAGACAATTCTTAGCTCGTCCTATTTCAGAACTTGTATCTGCACTGATGCCATTTGATGTCAAGGCCCCTGCATAAAATTAAAGCAGGAAATTTCAGCTCACCACCACTCTCAGGTCAGAATAAAACAAGCATGTTTTGGAAATCCTTGCTAACTCAAAAAAAAAAAGAAAAGCTTGAGCAAGGAACAAACTGATCAAAGGAGGTTCTTTGGTGCTCTCTGAGCTTGGTTGTAGTTTTTTTTGCCAACATTACGTTACCTAAACTAGGTAACATTATCAGTGCTAGTGACTAGCAAAGACCCCTCATCTCAACCCTGAGTTAAAAATACTCACACGGGAACCCATTTGAGTCAGTCACCAGGACTAGAGCTTTTGTCTTCCGAGATTTCGGACTTGTCCTGGAGCCCATCTTCAGGGAACTTCTCTAGCTAGAGTCCAAAGCCTCTGGTCCAGGTGACCGACCCAGATTGGATCCTGCAACATTATCCTGGAACATGTATATTCGCCTTCGTTCATAAAAAATATTCTCCTTTATTGGAGCAAAGTTATCCATTCAAAATGTAGTCAAAAGAGCAGAGATCTTGAGAGTTTTCAAAATTTACTGAGTCATGCATTAAGCAAAACAAAAATTGCTTGAATTAAAGCTGGATGGATATATACTGATTAAAAAACACAGAGAAAAGGTTCTGGCAAAATTATTAAACTGATACTTACCTCATATTCTACTAACTTAATTTAATTATACTATCACTTAACTGATGATTCTCTTTGCAGCAGGAATTTACTGAAGGAAATGACTCACAGCATTTTGGATAAATTTGCTATCATAAACATTACAATAAAAAAAAAGCTGGATTCCAAACTGGGGGGAAATGTGCTGGTCAGGTCTATCTGAGCAAGTGAACAGGAAGAACCAACGGGAGTTTGCCAACAGAATTTGGCAGGGATATTTAGAGAACCTCCCGAAAAAAAATTTCCCATCAAAATCAACAGCCAGTCTGAACATTTGGCTGAGAGCTTGAAAAAGGAACAAAAACTTTAAGAAATAAAAGTGGATAAGATTCCTAATTTGTCCTAAAATACTTCTGAGACATTAGCGCTCCTGCCTAAAATAGTGGATTTCAATAAACTCAAAGCAAATAGTAAGTAGGATTCTACAGCGAGGGAAGTGAATGCGAAAAGAAAGTCAATTTGAGGAGTTCTTAAAAAACACCTGACCAAAAATTGCAACCTATTTCAAAGACTGAAAAATAGAGGGGGGACAAAACAAGACACATACAGGAGGTAGAAAGAGGTAAAGATCACCAAAAAATCAGAGAGTTCTTTAAGAAAGCTAAAAGCTGAGAATGAGTTCCTCAAAGGAACAGAAATAGTCTTGCACAATATATTCAAAACCAAATAGTCAAAATTCCAACTTTTTAATGTTGATGAGAACATTCTAAGAGACAGATTTTTGGTGGTGTACAGGGATCTGCTGGTTTTTCTGATAGAACCTTTATGTATGATTGATGAGAAATCCTATGGAACTGGTGAAGCTCCAGATGATGGAGGAAAAGAAATAATAAATTCCTAAGAGGCCTGTAGGGGGCGTGCATAAGCGCACCAACGTGCCTACCGTCCCTGTCCTATTGTTTCTTTTATATTTCTTTTATTTATTTTTTTATTTTTCTTGTATGTATCCATGAATTCATAACTATGTTTTTACGTATACCTATTATCTTGTAAGCAATTGACAAATAAAAATAAATAAAATAAAATAAAATCTGTGTGAAGTCAGGGAAAGAAAAGAAACACTATAGATCAGTGAGACATCAATATATGGGAAAGTTCTAGAGTAGATCATAAAATGATTAAACTGTAACTGAATGGGAATTACCAGAAATCAACATAGGTTATAAAAAAATGAGATGAAGGAACAGTTGGAGAAGTTTTAAATCCGCAGATTCTAGTCACCAGTGTGGTGTACTTTTTTAAAAAAAAAAACAGAAGTGAAATTTCTAAAGCATATAGGCAGTGAGAAACTATTCATAAAACATTTGACCGACAAAACACAATTATAAAGTCAATATACCTGGATCAATTAGAACTTCTTGTGCACCTAAGGGGGAAAAAAATCAAAACAACTGCATTAACCTTCTGCGCTGCCTAAACAAAACATTGCCAAATGTTTTTATTTTATTTTATTATTTTATTTTAGTTACATTTTTGAAGCTCAAGTCAATATACATAATGCTCTCTCAGCTTTTCCCCCACAACAGCCTTTTGAATTTGATCGGGTTGAAAGAGTCTGTTTCCAAAACTCAGGGTAAAGTTGAACCTGAATTTCCTCAATGCCAGTCCAGTATCTTAATCATTACGGTATTGTTCTTAAGGCAGGTAAACTTTGACTTACAACCAGTCATTTAATGACCATTGGCAGTTACAAAAGGGTGTTATGGCCCATAAAGCACTGCCATCGTAAAATGTTACCCAGCCCCCTTTACGGTCGCATAACCACATTTTGGGTGTTTGGCAACCGACTCATTTTAGGACTGGTTGCAAAGTCACGAGGCAGTGGTTTACAATGTTTTCCCCAGCAAAAACACCCATTCAAGAGCATGGATTTGGACTTATGACCATTCATTCACTTAACAACTGCCACAAATAATGATCATAAAATCAGGTCCAGTCACATGGGTGCCTCAATTTATGTCTTAAATTCTAGTCCAAATTGCAGCCTTCATTTACAAGAACTACCTGTGCAAATTTTCTAAAACATTTTTTTTCTTATTTAGAGGGTTCTCAGAAGTGTTATTGTGTAAGTGCCACGAGTACAGTATTCCTGACACCGCTACTAAAATCAACACTTCAGATTCAGCAAAACCTCGTTAAGTCTCCAGTCTAAAATCCAGCTCCTTTTCTCCTCCAGCATCACACCTTGTCTTCACCTTCTAATCTTTACTTCAGTTCTGCTCCCAAGTAAAACTTGCTCATTGTAAGCTTCGCAGTCAGTCGGTGACATGTGCACCAAAGCTATCTGTCCATCCAGATAGAGCCGAAGAAGCTTCTTCGATGAGAAGCGAAACCTCTTCAAAGAAAAACCAGGAAGCCCAGTTGCCTCCTGAAAAAAAAGCACTTTTGGGACAACCCTGACCTGAATGACGGTGTCATGCCCCTGTTGGAATCTGATTCCGAGGGGGAGGTCGAGGAGCTGACAGGGAGTGGGAGTGTGGCTCCGGTGGCTGTGGAAGAAACTGGGGAAGGGCACAGTCCGGCTGGGCAGAGCAGGGGAGAGGTAGAGCAAGGCAGATGGAATTCGGAGGAAGATCCAGGCCCACCCCCTCTTCATCCTAGGGCACGCAGGGAGGAACGGAGAAGGGAGCAATGTGAGTTGCATGACTTACGGGGGAGGAAAGGGCCCCGATTCCCTTCATTAGCTGAAGCTGGGAAAACAGTAAAGGCAAGCTTCGCACAGGAAAGTTGCTGGGAGCAAATCGTGAATTTATCTGGTCTCATCGTGGCTTCTCTGGGTTCCTGGCATCTTCTCAATTGTGTGTGTTTTGTTGGCCTTTGAAGTCTGCAATTCCTTATCCTTCCCTGTCCACTTAATTACTGCAGTGTGGTTTGTGTGGATTTTTATTTACAATTTGTATGTACTTTGTTTTAAATTTCCTCCACTTAAAGACTATTCTTGGGAGAGTTTTTTTTTCCAGACGAAGGTAACTGGACATTGGTGGCAAAGTTGGAGGTATTAAAGGGACTCTACTTACTTATGTGACTGTGTTGCCTTTGTGCCACGCCCCGGGTCATCACACTATCTTTCTGCAAGGTCAGTGCTATTTCTCTCCTGTGGCTGGTATATTTTTCAACATTAAAAACAACAACAACAACTAAACTCTTAACTTTTATGGTGCTGCTGAGAATTGAGAAGCTGTAGGATTACGTAAGGCTAAAATAAATCTTTCATGCAGCATGGGCACCCTTTGAACAGAGATTCAAAGAAACCCTCACAAACTTGAACAAAATATTAAACCAGCATAAATACAGGGATCTGCAACCTTAAACAATCAAAGAGCCATATGGACCCATTTCCCACAGAAAAGAAAACACAGGGAGCCACAATACCTGGGTGGGCGTGGCCAACTCAATGTCCCTCCCACCCAGTCACATGACCCCCACCCCCACCATGCCTATCCAGGTTTTGTGGCTCCCGGTGTTTTCTGTGGGAAATGGGTTTCTTTCTTTCTGTTCCCCTCCCTCCCTCTCATTTCTGTTTTTTTGTGTTTTACCTTCTTGGGCGAGGCGAGGAGTGACTGGGATGGGAGGGCGAGGGGCAAGGCCAGCCAACGGTAAGATCAACCAACAGAGAGCCACAGCAGAGGGCCCAAAGAGCTGCATGCGGCTCCAGAGCTGCGGGTTGCTGACACACGTACTTGACCAAAAAAAAAAAAAATGTCATCTCAATTTAAAAAACAACTACACAAGCTTTTGCTTACCTGGTCTATGCCTGTTACCTGCCTCCGCAGAAAGTGAACCTCCTTGTGCCCTGCGGAACCCAATTTTACCTCCAGTGCCTCCGGGATAGTGATAGATGACGGAGGCTGAGCATAATCCTTCAAGAGCAGCTACAGATGAAAACAGCTCTTTTAATGGCAGTTTTATCACAGCCTATTCATGTAATAAATACATTTCCTTTAATACAGTAATACATCTAATAAAGTACGTTAAATACAAGGTATACAAAAAGGCACGAAAGTGGTTTGCATACAAAGAATAGTAAAAGCATTTACAAAGAATCGTAATATTTGGCTTTTCTTCTATAGGAAGCTGGGCATGGCAGTTATCTATGCTTAGGAAAGAGCTAATCATCAGGCCAAGAACAGAGGAAACCCCTTTTTTACAGTGAATATGTAAAATAATTTGGACAAAGTTTTGCTGTCACATTAACAGTATTTCCCGCAAACTCAAATCGTCTCAAGTTTTATTTCAGCATGCTTTTTACCCGAAGAAACGATGCTTGGATTTCTATCCCATATATTACGGGTAGTCCTTGCTTTACGATGGCATTGACAAATGGGGTCAACTTTATGAATTCCCATCACTAACTGACGCGGTGCCATGTCATGAGACCACACTGTTTAGCAACAGCAGAGATGTCAAACTCAAGGCCCGTGGGCCGGATCCAGGCCATGGGGCACTTAGATCTGGCCTGCGGTGCCGCCCTGGAAAAAGTGAAGGACTGGCCTGCAGTGCCTCTGCTAGCAAAAATGCAGCTCCATTTTCGTTTGGCAGACGGTTGCAGGAGGCTGTTGCTGCCGAAAACGGAGCTCACGAGGGCCCGTTATCGCTGGCAGAGCGCTCAAGCTCCCACAGGCCTCACCGACAGGAGTGAGGTTGAACTGGTCACGTCCATCCCGGCCATGCGTCGTCGTCGTCCCCCCCGAGGTCAAACATAACCCTGATGCAGCCCTCAATGAAATCAAATCTGACACCCCTGAGCAACAGCCATCTCAGCAGTTTTGTTAAAGGGAGGATCACGGATCGTTAAGCGAGGACCTCCTTGCAACTTCCGACAGCTACCAAAACTAGCAGCCAGATATGGGGTTGCTGAGGTGCTAGGCAAGGACAGCCACCAGAAGTGGCTACTGCAGGATAAGGCAGGACAATCTGCAAATGGTTGTTGTGGCACTATACATACGTGGTTAGGGATGGCACTGCACAAGGGTCGTTGGGCCAGAGGGCGGCTGCTGCAGGATGCACAAGAAATCGGCCGGGGTAGGCAGGCAGGCACGAGAATGCACCAGAGGTGGTATTCAGCAGGTTCTGACCAGTTCTGGAGAACCGGTAGCGGAAATTTTGCGTAGTTCAGAGCACCTGCAAATACCACCTTCTAACTTTTACAGATTTTACAGTATCCTTCCCCTGCTATGCCCACTAAGACACGCCCACAGAACCGGTAGTAAAAAAAATCGTGTCCCACCACTGGAATGCACCCTACAGAGCATGAGATCCCTGGGATCTGGTTCTCTGTAGCCAGGCTCCTCGGGAGAAAAAGACAGGGAACGGGGGCAACTTTCTGAAGCAAATTGCAAGCTTTCCTGCTGGCTTACTCATTGATGTTACTTGTGGGAAGCCAGCAGGAAAGGCTGCACAAGTGACAATTATATGGCCACAGGATGTTTCCACTGTCGTTAAGTGTAAGCCAGTTGCCAAGCAACTGGATCGCAAGAACATGACCATGGGGGATGCTGAGGTGTCCAAGGACTAGGCAACGCCGTTGCAATTTTGAACAGTGGCTGATTGAGTGATCAATAACCAAGGACTGCCTGTGTAGGATTCCATGTTTCGTAGTCCAAAATCCTAGAGAACACCATAAAAGACTGTTTGAGGAAACGCCAAGAAGGAGCGTGTTCTCTACTATTTTGCAGAACCGTTCGCATTCTCTCAGGTAAGGCACGTCAAATGTTTCAACTTTCAATTTCCAAACAAGTAGGGGTCCTCAAAAGTTGTGACATGCCTTGGGGAATTATAAAAAGATTCACAAATTACTGTAAATTTTAGAGCCATATTTATTTTATTATGACCTGTTATTATGGCTGTTTATTCATAATTTATTTTATTTATTTATTAAATTTCTATGCCACCCATATCACCGATGCAGCAGCTCTGGGGTGGCTAATAATGTACACTTTTAGTCACAAACCATCTTCCCACAAAATATAGGAATCAAATAACGTGATAATATCTCAGAGGTCATGTCTCAAAGCCTTTCAAACGCAATTATGTTTTAGTTCCAACACTATCATCCTTACCTCCCAGCCACAAAAAGTCATTTACAGAACGGAGGAGTTCCACAGCCATGTGATAGTGAACAAGAGAATCTTGCAACATCCCGGCTTGTAGACAAAGGTCCCCAACATGTTTCCGCATACGACCCTGACATCGCTTTTTATAATGTCTGGGATACAAAAAACAAATAGTGCAGAATTAGTTGAACTGTGTTATTCTAAAAGATAGTGCCGTTTTTTGGTGTGTTTTTTTTTTGCTTTAGTCTTCTCCTTAAGTTTGCATCTTATTGACAAGCAATCAGTGGTCCTCACCAAGAGCTAAGGAGCCTATTCCCGGCTATCGGAATACTCACTATAGGGTAGCAGTCCCAACCTTTTTGGCACCAGGGTCCGGTTTCATGGAAGACAATTTTTCCACGGACCCGGGAAGCGGGAGTGCACAACCTAGATCCCACGCATATGCAGTTTCACTTGCGTGGTTCCTAACCTTCAACCTGTGGCTCTCGTTCCTAACAGGCCACAGAACGGTACCGGTTTGTGGCCCAGGAATTGGGGAACCTTGCTGAAGGGGATGCAATAGGAACAAAGATACTCAACATCAGAAAATAAAGATTTTGTATCCTTGGAAATAAACCTGCGGCATGAACGCAGAATACTATCAATGGTTTTCTCAGCACATTTGTCTAAAAGTTCAACATATACCTTTTTAGCCATAGAATTGGGTGAACCTTTTCTTTTTATTAACTCATTAAGGAACACAGTAAGTTTGGCAAACACAAGTATCATATAAAGACTAGGAAGAGCAACTTAAAATAATTTAGGATGGACTCAATATGAATTCCAAGCTTGGTAGCAGGTAGATGTTCCATATTGATTTTTTTTTAATTACACCTTCTAAGGGCAAAACAGCTTAATGTTTGCAATCTTTTGAGAGCGGCCAATGACATGTCATTCTTAGGGAAAGCCTCTTTCATGAACTGTCAGTATTTAAATGATTCATACGATGTTGTATCATTCGATTATGAGCTAAAACTTAATTCCACATCTTCAGATTATGTGAGGCATTTGAAAATGGCAAGATAATTTCTACAAACTTGACGGTGTTATTTGCCTATAAATGAGAAAAATTATTTTCTAAAAAAACTAATTATCTTTATGAATAGGTTCATTACACATTTTATGGCACATTTGATTTCCTCTCACTAGAATGACTGTCCTGTTTGAAATTTCAATTTTATTACCGACTTCCATTGACAATTCATATTACAAGTTTTTATGGGTTGCGGGGGAAATCACTAACACAGAAATATTGCAAAAATATGAGAGAAAAGTAACTATATCTACACTCATACAATAACATTGCAGTTTTATTGCATTTATCTAGCATGTGAACAAAGTAGAATAAAATATTGTACCCCAAATGGATTAATTATATTTATCACAGGCACCTTTGGGACAAATGTGAGCCACTGGGTTTTCCTTTCAGAAATATTTCCTTACCAGATTCCTCAAGGTGTTCAAGAATGACAGAGCTTTTAATATACTATATTCCCTGGAGAAGTTGTGATATGTTCAGAGATGTATCTGCCTTGAAAATAACCCAGGTTGATCTAGCACAATGAAATATCGGCAGAGGAAATGTTTATGACATTTTGTATTATGT